CATTTTTTTCTGACCAAGTAAATATGAATGAAATATAATATTGAAGAAAGATATGATACAGAATGGAATATACTTTTGACTGGCGATTGAAGTTCCGCCTTGCGTTGAGGTTTCAGGAAAATGAGAGCGAGGGAGAGGTGAGGAAAGAAAGGGAGAGGGAGAGGGAGAAGGAGGGGAGAGGGAGAGGAGAGGAGAGGGAGAGGGAGAGGGAGAGGGAGAGAGAGGAGAGGGAGAAGGAGAGGGAGAGGGAGAGGGGAGAGGTGTGGAAAGAAAGGAGAGGGAAGAGGGAGAGGAAGCGGGAAAGGGAGAGAGAGAGTTAGAGGGAAATGGAAAGGGAAGGGAAGAGGGAGAGGTATGGAAAGAAAGGGAGAGGGAGAGGGAGAGGAAGCGGGGAAGGGAGAAAGAGGTTGAGAGGGAAATGGAAAGGGAAGGGAAGAGGAAGAGGGATAGATGGACAAGGAGAAGGAGAGGGGAGAGGAAGCGGATAGAGGAGGAAAGAAAGGAAGAGGGAAAGAGAGACAGAGAGGACAGGAGGAAAGGGAAAGGGAGGGTAAGAAGAGAAGCAGAGAAGGAGAGAAAGATAAGGAGAGCGAAAAGGGAATGTGAGAAACGGAGAGGTTACAAGGGGATGGGAAGAGAATTAGAGGGAGAGGATGAGATGAACAGAGAGATAGGATAGGGAGAGAAGGAGAAGGGAGAGAAGAAGGGAGGGAGGAAGAGGATGAGGGACACAAACACACACACCAAAGACACTAAAACAACCTCCCTCTCCCCCCCCCCCAACCCCAACACTCTCACTATCCAACCCCCACCCACCCCGACATCCCCAGAAAGCTTAAATTAACAGACATACCAAAACCAAACACACAGCCATACCAAACCCCACACCAGCAAAAACCAACCCCATCACTCGAGAATGTCACACTCAACCCCCATTAATTCAAAAGACATTTAACATCACCTAATACCCACTTTACACGCCCCATTAATCCTTAACAAACCCCATTCACATCTACCATTCACAACCACGGAGAGAAACCAGGAATCAAGTTATTGTTGAAGGGATTACGTCATTCATCCACCAGCGGCTCTCAGAATAGAAATGGAACGAGAGGATTAAATGTTATTGCTGGATATAAATACTCGTCGGGAGGGGGGAATAATAAATCATTTTGTAGTTTTACAGTAAATATTTATTGAGATGTGAGAACAGTAATATTTCTTCATATTCAGTAATATTATTGTAGTATTTACATAAAACGTCACAGATAATTACGCTGTATTCAGACAATTGTATTAAATTAGATATTGCTCTCATGCATCGATGACTTGCAAAAGGAGAGTAAGGGAACAGGGAGAGAGAAAGAGGGAAGAAAAAGGAGAGAGAGGGAAAGGATATGGGTGGAAGAAAGAAGAGGAACAGGAATGTTTTACACAAATATACGCATATCGATGTATATATATATATATATATATATATATATATATATATATATATATATATATATATATATATATATATATATATATGTTTTACATAAAAGAGTGAGAGAGAGACAGAAAGAGAGAAAACGAAGAAACAGAGAGAGAAGAGAGACTGGGAGAGTATCATTTCGCGAATTCCTAACGCGTGCCGAAGAATGTGAAAAAAAAACGGGTTCAGTGACCTCATCTCGCGTTGCAAAGGTGATCAATCATTGCAGGATTAATCACTCACACCGTGTACGCCCGCGGAAAAAATAGAATAATTGACTGCCTTATCTTAATTGAATCTGACGCAGGTATAAAGTCCGTTCACTGGGTCATAGGGATACATGGCATGTTTTCACGCACATACGGTCGAAACACACACACGCACACGTACACAGACACATATACTCACACACACATACATACACTCATATATACACCCATACTGAAACACACACACACATACACGTACATACACACATACACATACACATACACGCATACACACACATACAGAAACACACACACACACGCATACAGACACACACACACACACGCATACATAAACACACACACACACACACACACACAACACGCATACATAAACACACATACACGTACACACACACACACAGTACACAACACAGACACACACACACGCATACATAAACACATACATACAAGTGCGTTCATGTGCATACGAAGACGATTTAATTCATTATCATTAAGTAAGCTATAAACGCTGAAATACACCATCATCATGATTGATACTCTCTCGTTCCCAGCATTCTCTCTCTAGTTTCTTCTCTGTCTCTCTTAATCTTTCGCTCTTTCTCTTTCTTCTTCCATTCGCTTTGGTTTTCTCTCTCTTCCCCTTTCATCTCTCTTCCTTTCTTCTCTTTCTTTCCTATCTCTATCAGCGCTCATCCTCTCTCTCACTCTAAATCTATCTATCTATCTAGTCCGTCTCCCTCCCTCCCTTCCCCTCTCTCTCTCCTTTCTCTCTCTCTCTCTCTCTATCTATCAATCTCTCCCTCTCCCTCTCTCCTCCTTCCCACTTCCCTCTCTCTCTTTCTCCCTCCTCCCCGTCTCTTACTCTCCCTTTCTTTGTTTTTCCCTCTCCCTCTCTCTCTTCCCATCTCTCTCCCTCCCTTCCTCCATCTCTGTTATTTCTCTTCCCATATCCTTTACTCTCCCCCCTTCTCCCACCCTCCTTCCTCCCTCGCTCCTCTCTCATCCTCTCTTCTCCCTCTTCCTCTCTCTCATCTCTCTCTCCTCTCTTCCTCTCCCCCTCTTCTCATCATCTCTCCTCCCTCTCTTCCTCTCCCCCCTCTCTCTCTATCATCTCTTCCTCTTCCTCTCCCCCTCTCTCTCTCTCCTCTCTCCCTCTTCTCCTCTCCCTCTCTCTCATCATCTCTCTCCCTCTCTTCCCTCCCCCTCTCTCTCATCCTCTCCCCCTCTCTCCTTCTCTTCCCCCTCCTCTCTCCCTTCTCCTCTCTCTCCCTCTCTCCTCTCCTCCTCTCTCTCCCTCTCTCCTTTCTCCCCCTCTCTCTCCATCTCTTCCTCTCCCCCTCTCTCCTCTCATCTCTCCTTTCTCCCCCTCTCTCTCCTCTCTCCTCCCCCCTCTCCCTTCTCTTTCTCTCCTCTCTCTCCCTCCTCCTCTCCCCTCTCTCTTTCTCTCTCTCTCCATCTCTCCTCTCCCCCTCTCTCTCATCCTCTTCATCTCTCATCTCTCTCTCCTTTCTCTCCCCTCTCTCTCATCATCTCTCTCCCTCTCTCTCCCCCCCTCTTCCTCATCACCCAGAGGCGCCGCGGAGAGCCATTCATAAAGCGACCATATTGTAGGAACGACGTCAAGACCTGATTTAGGATCCTGATCGTTCTGTCTGATGTTGTTAAAGCGAGGAAATCCGTTTTGAGATTACGTATATGTATGTTGTCTGTCTGTCTGTCTGTCTGTCTGTCTGTCTGTCTGTCTGTCTGTCTCTCTCTCTCTCTCTCTCTCTCTCTCTCTCTCTTCTCCTCTCTCTCTCTCTCTCTCTCTCTCTCTCTCTCTCTCTCTCTCTCTCTCTCTTTTCCTTTGTTACGTATATATATATTTTCTTTTTTTGAATGTTGTTAAGGGCTGGGAGATCATAAATTTTGAGATTGTATGTATGTGTATATATTTTTTTCTTCCTCTATCTTTTCCTATACATACATACATATATATATATATATATATATATATATATATATATATATATATATATATATATATATATATATTATATATATATATATATATATATATATATATATATATATATATATATATATATATATCTCTTTCTTCTTTTTTGTGTTGTTATAGCGGTGGAATCTTCAAGTTTGAGATTAGATGTATATGTATAAGTATAAATTTTTTCTCTCTCTTTTCCTTTCGTTACATATATTTTTTTTTTCTTTTTTATGTGTGTATATATATACAAACACACTCTCTCTCTCTCTCTCTCTCTTCTCTCTCTCTCTCTCTCTCTCTCTCTCTCTCTCTCTCTCTCTCTCTCTCTCTCTCTCTCTCACTCTCTCTCACTCACACACACACACACACACACACACACACACACACAATATATATATATATACTTATAATTTTTTTCTCTTTTTTTTTTTGGGGGGGGGGGCTTGGTTGCTTTTTTCATTTTTTATTTTCGTTCTTAAAGCGAGGGAAGCATCCTTTTTGAGATTAATATACACTCCAAGTATATATATATATATATATATATATATATATATATATATATATATATATATATATATATATATATATATGTCTCCCATTTTCCTTATTTACATATTTTTTTCTTTTGGTCTTGTTTACGTTTTTCCTTTTCTTTTCCGCGTTTTTTTTTTTTCGATAGATGTTTAAAGGTATACTTGATATTTCATTTGTATTCATCTTAATCATTGTTCTTTCTGTTTTTCTCTTATTCTTCTCCGATATTCTTCTTCGCTATGCTTTCACTGGTTTGCACTTGAATCATTCTTTATCTCCTTTCATCTTAGAATATTCTTTTACATCCGTAATGAGACACAGAAATCTTGTCTAAAACGCAAACGTATAAGTATCATTATCATCCTTATTGTTTTTGTTGTTGCTATCATCAGCATTATTATTATTATTATCATTATTATTATTATTGTTATTGTTATCATTGTTATCATTACTATTATTATTACTGATATCATTATTTTTTTCATTATTTTCATCCTTGTTATCATTATCATTCCTATCATCACCATTATTATTATCATCGTCATCATTATTATCATAATTATCTTTACTTCTCAAATTATTAATATTTTCATCCCCACCAACACCATTCATTTCTTCATCTAATCTTTATCTCTCCTTATCAACCTTCATCTATCCCTTCACAAATCTATCCACATCATCATCTAATCTTTATCTCTCACATCAACCTTCATCTATCACTTCACAAATCTATCCACATCATCATCTAATCTTTATCTCTCTTATCACCCTTCATCTATCACTTCACGAATCTATCCATATTACCATCTAATCTTTATCTCTCCTTATCAACCTTCATCTATCACTTCACGAATCTATCGCTATCTACCGTCTAATCTCTATCTGTCTTTATCAACCTTCATCTATCCCTTCACAAATCTATCCACATCATCATCTAATCTTTATCTCTCCTTATCAACCTTCATCTATCCCTTCACGAATCTATCATCATCATCTAATCTTTATCTGTCTTATCAACCTTCATCTATCCCTTCACAAATCTATCCACATTACCATCTAATCTTTATCTATCCTTATCAACCTTCATCTATTCCTTCACAAATCTATCGTTATCTACCATCTAATCTTCATCTCTCTTTATCAACTTCATCTATCACTTCACAAATCTATCCACATCATCATCTATCTTTATCTCTCCTTATCAACCTTCGTCTATCCCTTCACGAATCTATCATCATCATCTAATCTTTATCTGTCCTTATCAACCTTCATCCATCCCTTCACAAATCTTTCCACATTACCATCTAATCCTCATCTATCCTTATCAACCTTCATCTATCACTTCACGAATCTATCGCTATCTACCATCTAATCTTCATCTCTCCTTATCAACCTTCATCTATCACTTCACAAATCTATCCACATCATCATCTAATCTTTATCTGTCCTTATCAACCTTCATCTATCCCTTCACGAATCTATCGTTATCTACCATCTAATCTTTATCTCTCCTTATCAACCTTCATCTATCCCTTCACGAATCTATCCACATCATCATCTAATCTTTATCTGTCTTTATCAACCTTCATCTATCCCTTCACAAATCTATCCACATCATTATCTAATCTCCATCTCTCCTTATCAACCTTCATCTATCACTTCACGAATCTATCGCTATCTACCATCTAATCTCTATCTCTCCTTATCACCCTTCATCTATCACTTCACGAATCTATCCACATCATCATCTAATCTTCATCTCTCCTTATCAACCTTCATCTATCACTTCACAAATCTATCCACATCATCATCTAATCTTTATCTATCCTTATCAACCTTCATCTATCCCTTCACAAATCTATCCACATCATCATCTAATCTTTATCTCTCCTTATCACCCTTCATCTATCACTTCACGAATCTATCGCTCTATCTACCGTCTCTCCTCCCACTGACCTAACGCGAAGCACCCTCTCGTGCCCTACCCAGGTCGTCGTTGGCTGGCTCGTGACCTGTTGTGTGACGGCGTCTTGGGTCGGGGCCACACATCTCCTGAAAGACATGTTCCTCCGTCAGACTCCTGTGTCTTCGGGTCCTCAGGGTCCTCCGCCCCTTCCCTCGGCGGCCGCGCCCTTCCCGGCGTCCAATGCCTCCCAGCCGGTGAAAATGGGCGTGCAGGTAAGTCCTCTCTCTTCTTCTCCTTCCTCCTCTCCTTGTCTTCTCCCTCCTCTCCCTGTCTTCTCCTTCATCTTCTCCCTCCCTCTTCCCTCCTTGCCTCCTCCTTCCTCCTCTCCCTCCTTTCTCCTTGCCTCATCCCTTCCTCTTCTCCCTCCTCCTCCGTCCTCTCCTTCCTCCTCTCCATCCTTCCCTCCTCCTCCTCTCCCTCCCTAACTCTCCCCCCTCTCCTCCTCCTCCTCCTCTCCCTCCCTCCTGTAGAGAAGACCTCGTGGGTGGATAGGTTGGCTGGTCGAGTGATAGATTGATATGTATGTAGATAGATAGATAGATGGATAGATATAGCGATAGATAGAAAGATACCCGCTTGGATAAGTCGATAGATTTAGGTAGATAGGTGGAACGGATTAGTGAATAGATAAATAGATAGATGGATGGATGGAGGATTGCATAGATAGATAGATGGATATAGAGACAGATAGAAAGTTGGTTGGATGAGATTTAGGTAGATAAGGGGAACGGATTGATAGATAGATAAATAGAGAGATAGATAGATGGATGGATAGTTGGATAGATAGATGGATGGGTGGTTGAACAGAAAGATAGATAATATATATATAGATATATAGACAAATAGATGAATAGGTTGGGAGGTAGATAAGTGGGTAGATAGACAGATAGATAAATAGATGAACAAATAGACAAATAAACAATTAAACAAACATATAAGTAGATAGATGGGTACATGAATATATAGAAGACAGATAGATTTATTAATAAAAAAATAGACAGACAGATAGATAACTAAATAAATAGAAGCTACCATGATAGATAGAGAAACAGACAGAAATAGAAAGAGAGATACTTCGCAATATATTCACTTATATTTATTCACGCAGGGTATATACATCATTCATACACGCATTCAAAAACACTAAAGTTATGAGCATAATTTTGCATACAGACAAAAGCAATATTTCACTGAATTTCCTCAAAAGACGAAACGGGTTCACTGAATTTACCAAGACAAATTTAATTACAAGCGTGAAATTATTTCTATATATTATGAATAGAAATTTTGTGGTTGGCTAAATCGAACCTTGATCCGTGCCTTTCAGATTCGTAAATTGGTTTATAATTAATTTCTTTGTATTTTCTCTTCTTTGTTTGTTCATTTTCTTGTTGTTGTTTTATCATTGTCCATTTTCTCGCTTATCTTCTTATTTTCTTTTTTTTTCCTTTTATGCGTTTGTTTATCTGTTTCTTGTCTATTTTCCTAATCTCTCTATCTCTTTGTCTCTATGTCTTTCTTCTGTTTCTTTTTTCTCATCCTTATCTCTCCCTCCTTTTCTTTTCTGTCACTTTCCCTTTTTCTTTCTATTTCTCTTTATCTCGTTTAGTCTTTTCGTGCTTTATATATGCGTACATAGATGTAAACGCACACACACACACACACACACACACACACACACACATACATACATACATACATACATACACACACACACACATAATGATAATAATTATAATATTGATAACGAGAATTATGATAATGATAACAAATTACTAATAATTATAATGGTAATAATAATGATGATAATGATAATTATAATAACAATAATAATAATGATGATGATAATAGTTATGATGATAATAGTAATCCTGAAGATAATAATGATATACATAACAATGATAATGATGATAATAGTAAGTAATAATAATAATAATAATAATTGATGATAATGATAACAGATTAGGTAAGGAAGATAATGATAATAGATAGGATAATGAAGATATTGATAATAGATGTGATAATGAAGATAATGATAAAAATGATAATGTGATAATAGTAATAATAAAAATTATAATAGCAATAATGGTAATTGTAATAATAACAATAGTATAAAACGATAATAATAATGATATCAATATTAGTCTTGATAATAGCAATAATGATAATGATAATAGTGATAATGATGATTATGATGAATAATGATAATGATAATGATGATAATGATAATGATGATAATGATAATGATAATAATTATGATAATAATAATAACAATAAAAAATATGATAATAATATTGATAGTATTGATGATAATGATAGAAATAATATTACTGATAATAATAATGATGATAATCATGATAATGATAATAATAATGGGGAAATAAATGATGAATTATAAAAACAAAAGTACAAAACCAATTTCTCAGCTGAAATGATACCACTTTCACAGAACAGACGATCCCTAATATCTTACCGTCATGAATTGCTCCGAGATAATAGGCAAACGAAGGTCATTAATCCTATTAGCCACAAAGTTACAGATAGTTCGTAAATTACTCCTAAGTTCTGCAGGATTATTTTGAGGCTTAGAGAAGAGGGGAAGGAAAGATTTATTTCGGAGTGTTTCGTGTGTATGAATTTCCAACATGGAGAATATTGAGAAGGTTTTTTTATGATTGTTTTCAATTTCCAGTATAAAGGGATAAACGACGTCTATGATCCATTTATATGAATACACACACACATAAATACACACACACATAACCACACACACACACACAAACCACACACACTCACAAACATAACCACACACACACCACACTCACACATGTTTATTTTTTCTCTCTGTTTACATTACACCAAGAGAACAAAATTCAAATAAATAGTGTTGTTTCACGATACCCTCTACCCCCTCACAACCACCCATCTCTACCCACCCCTCTCCCCACCTCCCATTCCCTTTCCCATCCCCCCCACTAAAACCCCCCATGTCTCCCTCCCTTCTCTCTCTCTCCCCTTCTTTCCACCCAACAACCCTCCCCCCATCTAACACCCCCACATCGCCTTCTCTCTCCCCTTTCAACAAACTCCCCTCTCTCCCACCTCCCCTTCTCTCCCCCCAACAACCCCCCCATCTCTACCCCCCCTACTCTCCCCCCTATCTCTACCCCCTCCCCTTTTCTCCCCACCAACAACCCCCCCCTAACACCCCATCTCTTCCCCCTCCTCTCCACTTCCCCTTCTCTCACCCCCCAACAACCCCACATCTCAACCACCTCCCCTACTCTCCTCCCCCGAACAAATCCCCCTCTCCCCCAACAAATCCCCCATCTAACACCTCCATCTCTCTCCCCGCCCAACATACCCCCCATCTAACACCCTTCTCTCACACCCCAGCTAACCCCCCCCATCTCCCCCACCCAACAAACCCCCCTCTAACACCCCCTTCTCTCACACCCCAACAACCCCCCATCTGTACTCACTCCACTTTTCTCCCCCCCCCCAACAAACCCCCTTCTAACACCCCCATCTCTACCCCCTCCCCTTTTCTCCCCCCCCCCAACAACCCCCCCCCCCCAACAACCCCTTCCCCTCCCCATCTCCCCCCAACAAACACCCCTTCTAACACCCCCATCTCTCCCCCCTCTCTCCCCAGAAACAGGTGTTCGACGCCCCCTTCTTCACCACGTGGTTCTGCACGACCTGGACGGGCCTGTTCTTCCCCATGTACCTCGCGTCCCATCTCTGCTTCAAGAGGGACAAGTCATCCTTGAAGGTCACTCTCAAGGCCATCGCGCAGAACTTCAGGG